AATGTTATGCTGTGTACCTCTCTATAATAAAAATCTTCTAAGGAATTATATGGCAATTCGAATAATAAAAGAAAAGTAACTTCAATAGGTAGGAAAATATGCTCTTTACTCAGATGTATATAGCAGATATTTATTTACATTTTTTATATTTGTATTTTAGACAGTTTTTCAGAGAAAAAAGCTTCAACAAACTACAAATACAACATCCACACAGATGACTAAGATTGGTGTGTATGTATCAAATATGACCGATAAACTGGTAACACCAGGAAAATATTTTTCAGCAGAGGAATACCACGCTCAAAGATTAGCGGCGGTAAGGCAACTTTTATTATGGGTGAATACCAAAAATTAAATATCTGAGTCAGTCGTTCTGTATGTATCTGTGTGGGTTTCCCTAAGCATGATGGGCTTGAGGAAGAACCCACATGAATGTTAGAAAAAATTATTCATAACACTTGTTAAAGATGGTAAGGCAGACTTGATTCAAAAGGGGCTACTATGGAGTTTGGTGGTAGAAGAGAGATTGGGCCAACTGAATACAGCAGGAGAAGTGGGAGCTGATAGCCAAGGAGCAGGGTAGGTCAGTGGATGTGGATGGACCACACGAGGAGGAAACATTAGGAGTAAAGGGGCATTCTGGCTGAACCAGCCTAACAGGATGTTTGCGGAATGTGAGCCAGAGTGACAGGCATCTCCTGGGGGATGGTGGGAGGTGAGCAACCTGATCAAACATTGAGGGTGGTCAGCTATTGAGGCTGGAGATGCTGGTTAAACTGAGTTAGCAAAGATGAACGAACACAGAAGCCCAAACATCAAGGTATAATTGTAAAAGAGCTCAGAGGAGCCCGATTAGAGTTTGGTCAAGGAGAGAATCGTTGTTAGAGTGAGTCATGTTTTATTGGTAGTAAGAACAGGTAAGAACAGTGTTGTCCTCCAGTCTCCCCAGTGTAAGGAGCCAGCATCCTAAATGCTCTGAATCCTTCCCTTTCTCTTTGGGAACCCCAAGATTTGTGTGGTTCCTTTGTGCTCTCTGTCCCTTGGCCTTAATTCTTGTGACAGTGGCATCACCCAGGGAGGTCGCTAGACTAATTGAAACTAAAAGGATATTAAAATCCATTTTCTCTAATGTTAATATAGCCACTCCAACCCTTTTATGCTATTGTTTCCATGGTCTTTTTTCCATCCTTTTATTTACCTATTTGAGACTTTGTATCTAGAGGATCTCTCTCATAGACCGCATATAATTGGATCTTATTCTTTTTATTCAGTCTAGCAAGCTGCCTTTTG